CATACTCATGTCAAGGTTAATGCCATGTCAAGGCACTAATAGTAGCTCCTTCCCTTGTGCGGTTATTCTTTCAACTGTAAGAATATTAATGCAATTTGAAGTTACTTCTAGAGCATTCCTGGCTGGCCTTTAGAGTTATCACAATTACAGGGACAGAAGTTTTAAGGTTTCTGAGAGTACTGCGGGAGTAATTGCAATTGTAGGGAAGAACTAGATTGCAGTCTGCTCTGAAAGCACAGAACTGAAAGCAATCACCTCCACATTCAGTCCTGGCTGAGAGACAGATTCTACCCATGGCTTCTGTTGTGCCACCTGAGCTTCGGATTGGAAGCTTCCCATTGCATCCCCCCCTGCCACCCTCCCCCCCTCCCAACTGAGATAATGCTTTTTATCAACTTCATGGGGATTTTATAATTCGATGTTCATGAAGAGAACAGAACTGCAAGCCTGCCTATGCTACTGCTAAATGCAAAACTTCCCTAAATATTGGAGAACAGTCTCCTAACACAGAATCCTCAGACCACACTGAGAGAGAAGACACAGCTGCTCTTCTTTTATTACAAAGTGAATAATTTAAGAATATTCTTGCTCACTGCCTTGAAACCATCCTTTGTATGTCCCTGAGTAGAGCTGGAGGCACCAAGGTCTGCATGTCAACAGTTGTTTTGTTACCTGGTTCAGTAATACGAAGGGCATCAAAGCATCTGACTGTGCTGATGCCTGGGCAGGACGCTCCTCTCTGTGTTATTCCAACACCAGTCAGGCTTATGTAACTGATTAAATAATAAAATGACACCTCCATTCTTTTCTTACACACATGATGCAAGTGTACCCACAGCACATTGCCCATGCTGCTCCAAGGCCTGCCTTGAACTCAATCAGATTTATCCTCACGCAGTGTCCCTCCCCAAGGGCCGCTGCTGGCCACCGAGTTCCCCAGATTCAAAAGAACCCAAATGCTATAATTCTCCTTGAAAAACATTTGGATGCTCTCATCGTGTCCCTCGGTTTCTATGACAACCACAGCAACATACACAGCCTTGCTGGCAGCCACAGGAGACTGAAATCTCTGCTCTCTTCCCTCCCCTCCCCATAACTTCTCAATGTAGAACGTACCATCACCGAACAAATACAATTAACAATAAACACAGAAGTGGTGTCTAGTACACCAGGCTGGCATTGGGGAAACATCTTGCTAATAAAAATATGTTACAGTATTTTATGATAACAGTCAAAACATTGCCTGCTATGTCAGTGTTACTGAAGTACCCTGGGACCAACTATGCAAAGAAGAGTGTAAAGCTAGAAATACATAAACAGGAGTGTTTTCTATGCCAGCTTGCATAGCTGAAGAGAGCTATAAAAATACATGACAAGACCTTCTCTGTCAGCACCTCTTCATGCCCCTCACCTTGCTGGCAGGTTACACATCAGGAATAGATAAGCCCCTGAGTGAATGTCAGGATGGTTGGGGCTAAGATGCCCTTTCCCCCATCCCTGGCAGTGTTCAAGGCCAGGTTGGACAGGGCTTGGAGCAACCTGCTCTAGTGGAAAGTGTCCCTGCCCATGGCAGGGGGTTGGAACTGGATGAGCTTTAAGGTCCCTTCCAACCTAAACCATTTTATGATTCTATGAAGATGGCTGCAGAGCTATGTGGCCGCACACACATCATACGATGTGACTGCAGGCACATCTCCATGGCTGCAGCTCCCAGCTTTCTAGCGGGAAAATCATAAACCAAATGTGAATGCAGCAGCAGTGAAATGCTCTGCATGGCACCATTGATCTGAGTCCAGCAGAAGCCATTTCTGTGAATCTCCTGCATCAGGCAGAATAGTGAGAGCTGCTGCTTTCACTAATGTTCAGGCAAGCTGAGGTCCAACAAATCCCAAACAAATAGCTCAGGTCTTCCTTCTGTCCTAAGACAAAGTAATGGCGAAATAAATTTGCCATATAAGGCCTACAAGTCTGGAGGTTTTACGCCATTTACTCATTCAGCCAATACTGGATGGCATAAAGCCATCAGAATACACACGAGTTATACAGAGGCCACATGTGGTAACTATGGTTATGAGCTTTCCATAGATCACAAAATCACCTTTCAAATTATTAAACCAGTCTCTGATTGTTAAAATATCATGTATTTTTAACATAACTGCCACTCAGTGTCTAGCTTGTGACAAAGTGACTTTGTGAAACAAAGGGCTGCATTTTTAAGCATCAGCATGGTCATCATTTCTTCACCACTGCTGTTAGTTTGTCTTAGCACTGGTTCTCCCTATGCTGCCAGAAAGATACAGACAATTCCTGCTGCTCTGAGATACAACTGGGGATGTAACCTGTCCTGGGTTTAGCAGTAGCAGTCATTTTTTCTCCTTCTTGGTAGCTGGTGCAGTGCTGTGTTTTGATTCGGGCTGGGAACAAAGCTGATAAAAATGATGTTTTGGTTTGGCCAAGGACTTCGTGAGCCTCATGCTCTGTCAGGGAGGAGGGAAGCCGGGAGGAAGCAGAGACAGGACACCTGACCCAAACTGACCAAAGAGGTATTCCATACCACAGCACGTCATGCCTAGGGGGGAACTGGGAGTTACCCGGAAGGACAGGGGGGCTGCTGGGTCGGACTCGTTGTTCGGCGTGTGGTATTGTACTCCTTTCCCTTGCTACTTTCTCTTATCATTGTTGTCGTTGGTGGTAGCGGTGGTGATTCGTATTGTACATTAGTTGCTAGACTGTTCTTATCTCAGCCCGTGGGAGTTGCATTCTTTCGATTCTCCTCCCCATCCCTCTGGGAGCGGGGAAGGGGGGAGCAGCCCCTGGGGAAGGGGGGGGACACTAACGTGGGCCTCGATTGCTTCCAGCCTGGCACCACTCATTGGGAGTGAGTGCACAAGCTGTCTGTTTGGGTTTAAACCACGACAAACCACAAACCGTTTTCACTACAGCACTTCTTCACACTTGGTGGGGAAATCCTACAGCTTTGTGGGGCTGTTTTGCTGTAAAGCAGACTGAGGATTTGAGGAAGATGAGCGGGGGCAGGACATACATGAATGTAAACCCTTGGACGCCAAAATCTGTGGGGATTCCCTCTGGACAAGTATGCAAAAATACACATATCTGTGAGGAGGAGGAAGTGAAGCACTTCCCTGTTCCACAGGGCTTGGAAGGCACAGAAGGTGCCACCTGACATTTCACAGCTTGAAGGAAGAGCTTTTAGAAAACTGCCTGATTACACAGACCAGGAGGAGGTGGGATTAGAAATTAATGACATAAGCACTAGAAGTGGGGATGAACATTTGATCTTTGGAAAAAGAAATGTGGATATTTTATTGGTTTTCCATCTTAAGGCAGAACTCTGGTGTCTGCCGATGTAACACATTTAAAATTGTTTTGCTCTCTCTTGAAAGATTTAGGAAAAAGTCTTTATGCTATGAAATAATTGTACAATATGGAAATAGTATAGTTTGCAGTATGGAAAGGAAACACTTCTTTCTTAATTTCTCCAATAGGCTGTACAGCAAGTAGTGCTATGTGAGAATGAATCACAACTATAAAAGGATCACTGATGCTCACACTTACTATGTTATATAATAACACTGCCTAATAAATAAAGTTTTATCTATCAACTACTCATAGCAAGTTTATGTTTCCATTTATGTCCTCCTGTGTGCTAGTACGATGTTGCTAACCACAGACATGTTACTTAGAAATACAGCATATATGAAATGAAAGTTTACTTGGAATACAGAGATATCTGTTACCTCATGAATATGACTATGAGAGTCCATCATGCAGAACGCATCAGGATATTAGATAATATGCAAGATATGTTGTATGATGCAACATTGAAGAATAAGCAAGAAGGATGAGATTTTGTAGTTTTCACAATTACATACTATTAAACAGTAATAGCCCCCAAATCACAGTGCTTTTAAATGAGGATTCTGAAGAATATGAGCTATCCTTTTCTCCGTCTGGAATGAACTGCTAGGCATAACATTCTAACACTACTGTAATCCAAAGGAGAGCAATTTTAGAGTAAATTTAAATTAATGATTCTACAATTAGTAGATATTTCCATAGCTTCCAACCTTTGTCCAGCATGACTCACTGACACTAAGGCACTTGGTTTAACTTCAGAACGGCAGAAACCCCCCCCCAAACCATCACACAAACCTTTGCCTATTTCCAAGTATGTTTATGGCATGTGGGTGGCACAGCTGAATTATGGTGAGGAGGTTTTATCAGCAGTAATTATATAATTCCATTGTGGCACTGAACCATTCTAAACCCTAATCCATAATCATTATTAAAGTATTGATGAAGCCTTCACAGGATGGTGCTCCAACTCACAAAGCCATTCCATAAGAACAGAACAGTCAATACTTCAGAAAACCTGAAGATTGATGTGGTGCTTAAGAAAAAGCACTTTAAGAGGTGTGATGTGCTCTGGAGTTGCACTGGGATTTACCTACAAATGCACACATTCTTGCATGCCAAATGCAACATGATGTCAGTTTTAAGCACAGGAACAGAGTCATCTGTGGCCACAGACTATGCTTTGACAATTAGAAGTTTTCAGATTTGTATAATTTTACATTATTCAGCTGAGCAACTCAGTTTCTTTAGCAGGCCAATATTAGAAGTGTGGTTTAATTCAAGCCTTTAAAAAGAAAATTAATTAAGAGGGCTTTAAGTGTGCACCTAGGGAACATGCCACCTTAAATGAATGAAGACATCAGGGAAAAGTAATTTCTCTAATTCCTAATGTACTTTTGCCATAGTTTCTAAGTGCAGACTACATCAAACTGGCAGCACATATCAGGTCAAGGCTTTTATTTAGAATAGCTTTTAAAACGTAATAACCCATTTTTGACAATGGCAAATCATGTTTTTTCTTCTAACACCCCAAGAGTAACACTTTACATAAAAGCAGAAGTATTCTCAATAGCAAAAAAACATCAGTAGAACACAAGACGAGAAAACCTTGAAAAGTGACATACCTGCCCCAAGCCGCTTTCGTTGTAGAATCTTTATCAACAGGAACACATGAGGACTCAACAACACTTGATTTATTCAATTTGTAGCAGAGACCACAGTGTGGATCTAACATACATCCATTGCAATAACTGCAAGAGAAAGAAATAAATACTTAAGCAACACTTTATCCATTTGTACATGTCAAAACCAACAGCATCTCATAATCAATCTTGGGATTCACGTACTCAAGTTGTCAGTGTTGGAGACAAGACAGTAAAAACTGCCAAAAAAACTAACACAGATGGTTTTTGCCTCCAGTACCACACTTTGGTGGCCCAGTTGTGAATCTCCCAGTGACACCTGATCAGGCTGTAGGGGAATTCACTCATGGAATGAATTCTAATTAAAAAAAGACGCATTTGGGTTGAAGAGAAAGAATCATACATAATACCTAGTAACCAAACTGAGATTTGGGCACATATAGAACTGGAAGTCAGTTTGACATCATCATATCATGTGTCTCCATGTGGGAACTCGGAGCCTGAGTTCTCTTTATGTTTCATGTACACAGTCAGTATGTCAATGCAGCCAATCCCCATACAAGCATCTCGTGCCCCAAAATGTCCTGCCTGCCCTTCACCTGTCACTGCGGAGCGTGCAGTGCTCTTGCACATCATTCCAGTGCAGCAAACTTGCCAGGTCCATACAGACCTTGTCTCTGATTTCCTTGGGAGTCTCAAAGAGCATGAGATGCTTACATTTAGGCAAAGTTTCCTCAATGCAATCTAGCATATTCAAGTGACTAGACAGTAAAACTGTTCCCTAGGCTCCACTGGTTGTATTGATCACATCCCCGCTGACTCTACTGGGAGCCTAGACACCAAGTGCCCTACAGATCCTTCACTTAGTCTAAATTGCCAATTCAGAAATACATCCTCATCAGTAAGGCCCCTAATATATTCTAAGGGATAACTTTAGGAAGTAAAAATAGCAGAATGAGAAACTGTAGAACATGGAGTAGGTCTGGAAACTTGAAGTTGAAATTAAACTTTGAAATGTAACACCTGGAAACGTGTAATTAAGGCGACCAAAATAGCTTCAACACATATCCCTGTAATGGAAAAACCAAGGAAATAATCCTTTCTGAGCAGGTATTTTTATCATAACAATGACTTAGTGAATGAAGAAATGATCTGCTCAAGCTACCATACCATTATAGGAAAAAGTAAAAGTAACTGTATAACAAAGTCCCAAGAAACCAAATCAGTAAAGCAGATTATATGGATCTAAAACGTTTGAAAGCACATGCTTCAAACCTAGTCATCCAAACTCTTCTGACTATGATGTTTCTAAAAGAGCTATAGGAAGATCAATTCATATGGTAGTTGGCCAAAAAGAGGGCCGGGAAAGTGTAAAAACCAATGCATTCATTTGCATTTCTCTACTTCTCCCAAGTTTCAGAAATCTGTGCTCTTTGTTATTGTGTTCTTTCCTTGGGCTTTACTGAGTATCACAGAATCATTTAGAATGCAAAGGACCTTTAAGATCTCCAAGTCCAACCAATACTCCAGTTGGCATTCAACATAATAAAGGCTGCAGGATTTCATGTCATGCCAAATGCCAGAGGTTGTATTACTCATAACAGTTTAAATAATTTAAATTTAATATTTTCGACAGCTTTTCTGAAGCTTGTCTTTCAAAGTTACATGACAAATACTTATAAATCCTTTATGTTTCAGTTAGGACTGCCTGTCATTAGCTATCTAGTGAGTTCATACACTGTCTTTGACTTTAGGTTTTAGACAGGCCCAATTTACGTCAGAGGAAACCCAAAAATTCAATATATAAGACTTTAAACCCTTTCAAATCTAACTCCCAGCAGACTCAGGAGAGGCAGCTGTTGTTCAGACCATCTTGCATTCTTCTGTGCCCCATTTTATGACTGACATAAAATTTTTATAACACTGCTTTTTGCAATATAAAGGTCGATGGGTTTTTTCCTCCAAAATTCCAACATATACACATTACAACTGGTTTATAACACAGTAGAGAAATCCATACCAGTTAATAAGGACGAATGATCACTGAAGATGCAGCATGAAATAAGCAAGGAAGATTAATATTTTTTTTTAGAAGTAATTTGAAAACAACCAAAAAAACCCAGTGTGCTGAGTGGAAATAAAATAGATAGTAGTTTCAGGCTTATGCCCTTCTTCACTCTAGCCCCATTGCTGTTTCCTAAAAAAAAATAGGCTAACAATGTAAAATTGACTGCATATTCTTATGTACCTGCTCATATTCATATAAATAAATTAGGGCACACAATATACCAGGAAAAGAAATGCACAATGTAATACTTACTGACATGTAACTATCCACTACTTGCACATAGATATCAATTAGAGATCTCCTTCCTGTCCTCTAATGTACCTTCCTATCAACACTCCCCATATATACCCACATGTATGTCAGAGTATAAATCTATAAAAATACTGATACTTCTTCAGATCTACACCACAGATCGGTCATGGCCTTTAAAGCTCTATACCAGAATACTCTAGCATGTCTACATAGGAAAGGAAATTTGCATCCAATTATAAATGGGAGACATGTTTCCTGTACTTTATAATGAAATATTTATATTTGTGCTAAGGTTATGAACTAGTGTCTTGGAAACAAGTTCCTCTGTGAAGAGCCAGTTGAAAATTCCCAGGATGGTTGTTTATGAGACTGACAGCTCGTCAAGATTGAAATACCCGAGAGAGATTATCTGATCTTTATGAAACAAGGCAGCATTACAGCAGGAAGGTTTTACAACGTGCCTAGGTCTCTCCCTGCTTACCAGCTGCGCTCCTAGGCAACCCAACAAGAACACAAGCGCCTAGGCTTTAGACACTTCAGTCCATGTAGCAGAATAACAACAACAAGGAATGTGAGGCTGCAGAAGTCCAAAGATCACATAATTGTTAATGTTGGAAGGGACCTCTGGAGATCATCTACTCCAACCCCCCTGCCAAGGCAGTGCCACCTAGGGCAGGTTATACAGGAATGTGTCCAGGAGGGGTTTGAATCCAGAGATACCCATCTTCTTTGCAGCTCAGTGTCATGAAGTCTACAGAATAGAAGTCTCAGTAGCTTGGCCTCTCAAATTATTTGGAACTGCCACGGAATGGGATTTCTGGGTTCCTACTTCACTGTCAGAGCACATTTACTGACAAGCAGATGGACCTTTAGAACACTAGATATCCCCTAACCTGCAATTCCTCAGTCCAATTCTGCTAACACAGTCAAGGCTTCCATGCTCTTACAATCTCTTCACCTGACTAAATGGGAACATATGTGTCGGGAAAGTCTGACAGCACTAACTTTAAGGTCCATTGCTGGCCATTTCTTGCCAGTCTGAGTACCAGCAGCTTTCAGAATGCTCTGCTCTGGAGCAGGCTGCCCAATGAACTGTTCCTGAGGTTACAGGTGCACCACAAAGCTCACAATACCTTCTTCTTTCATAGGGAACTTAAACTATAGAGACGAATTAATTGGCCAGCTGTGCACATTATCTTGAAACCCAAATTACTGTTTTCTTTCTTCTTCCTAACAGTGTAGTTTACTGCCTCTACTGCAGTCTCTAAAAAGATTGAATACAAATACTGACATGCTAAAGTGATTCTCCAGATGCCAAAGAAAGGTTCAGAATTGCTTCTCCCCCTGCTTTTTCTCTGCTGCTTAGAATACTCGGTAGTTGCATTCGGTTTGCCATTATATTTTGTGCTTTAGATTTGTAAAATGACCTTGTAAGCAAAGACTTTCTTACAATTCTCTTAATTTGAGCTGCAAGTTGCATCTTACCACTCTTTGTCAAGTGCTGTAGCAGTAAAAGACCTTTGCCCAGTGCCCTTGTTTCATGGTTTAAGCCCAACCGGTAACTCAGAACCCTGCAGCCGCTCTCTCACTCCCCCATTTCTTCCTCTCCCAGCTCCTGAAGGGATGGGGAGGAGAACTGAAAGAATGTAACTCCCATGGGTCGAGATAAGAACGGTCCAGTAACTAAGGTATAACACAAACCACTGCTGCTGCCACCAATAATAATAATGATAAGGGAAATAACAAGGGAAGAGAATACAATAGCTCAGCACCCGCTAACCGATCCCCAGACCGACCAAGCAGTGTTCTAACCCTTCTGGGTAACTGCCCCCAGTTTACATACTGGGCATGACATGCTGTAGTATGGAATACCTCTTTGGTCAGTTTGGGTCAGGTGTCCTGTCTCTGCTTCCTCCCGGCTTCCCCTCCTCCCTGGCAGAGCATGAGACTCACAAAGTCCTTGGTCAGAGTAAACATTACTGAGCAGCAACTAAACACATCGGTGTTATCAGCACTGTTATCAGGCTGAAAGTCAAAACCACAGCATTGCACCAGCTACTAAGAAGGAGAAAAATGACTGCTACTGCTGAACCCAGGGCACCTGGCTCTGCAAGTGACATTTCTCTTTTTTGTCAGACTATTTTGTCTTTTTTTAAGCTGAACCTCAATTTCTGAATTGCTCATTAGAACACATTTCCTCAATTTCCACTTTTGCCACATTTTAAAGAGCTTTCAACTTTGCCTTTCATATGCTGTTATTCAATTATACAACTCTACCAATATGTTCCTATCATCCAATTACAGAAATACAAACTGAGATTGATTGTGTATTATGGATTCTGCAGCCCTTTTCCAGAATGTAACACCCGATTTCATAATATTCTACTACATGGGCAGCATGAACACTCAGAGTATAAAATTATCCACAAATACAGACATTTCTTGGGGACAGACCCTTTCCACTTGTTTCGCTTTCATCATCTTCACTGAGCACATGCTGCACAATGTATGTGAAGTAGCAGTTATATGTGAAAATCTGATACACTCATAACATGCAAGTGGACTTGTATGATCCTAATGGGTCTCTTCCAACTTGGGATATTGTATGCAAGACAGTTTGTCCATGTCTTGGTCTTCATCACCACTCCGGTCACATTTGTGGCTTGCTGAACTAACTGCTCCTGCTCTGCCTGATTCAAATACTCATATTCCTGAAAAAAGTTTTCCTCACAGAACTGTAGGAAGAATAAAAACCATCTCAGGTTTACTCCTTGCTCTCAAGACTGGTTATGCACACAATCCTCTATCTCCCTTAGCATGTGGTATAGTTGCTTTCCAGTTCCTTACAGAAAAATAACAGACTGGAATCAAGTTTTCCTTGTTTCTGTGATTGTATTCTTATAGCCAGAGAATGCCTCTCCCTCCAGCCCCAGCTGAAAGATCTAAATTACAGTTACATTCAAATATGATCAACCCCTTCTCATCTTCAAATCACGCTCTTGCTCCATCTAGTCTATTGAAACTATTCTTCAGTGACTCCTTCCCAGGTAAGAGTTCCAGACCAGTACTGAATCCTTGGCCTTCTCTGTATGCCAGCCATATACAAATGCATTAAATCTTTAAACTTTCCTTAAACCTTCTTTTCCAAAGATTCAAATACCTCAAATAAGCAACATAGTTTATTTATACTTAGAGTGACTGTTTTCAGCCTCTTGATGTTTGCTACTTCTGCTTTAGACCTGAAGAGGACCCCAATGGCTCATCCATTTTTCCTACCTACCAGAGTCCTAGACAGAAACTACTCTCGATAAACCTTGTGTTGCTCAAGTCCTTAGATCATCTATACCACTACTACTATAAGCTCCTTGACAACAGACTGTCCTGGAATGCTGACACCACATGAAAAGTATCATATTCACAGTCTACTTGCATATAGGTATCAATTATCTCTTGTCCTTGATGATCTTTTTCTTTCCTGAATTTATATAGCCTCCAGCACAACAGCTTCCTGATTTCTGTCTGGAACTGATTAACACGGATAATAAATAACAGAAACAACTGTCTTACATGTGGCTTTATTTTGAACATGATGACAGTCTCTGTAAAATGCTTGGTTTTAAACCTACTCTTCCAAAGAGACCCTACACATAGATAAGACTCTGAGCTTTTAGGCAGATGAGGTACAAACCTTGCTCGACCTGGATTAAAATCATCCTTGTGTGACTAAAACCTGCAGCTCACATGAAGTATAACACCATCACTTTGGAAGATTTTACAAAATAATTCCGTAGGCATTGTTCCAACTTTTGTTAAACAGCAAAGCCTTAGAAATATTAGCAGAGATGTGTGTAAGAGTTAACAGGTTATTACATGAATGACACCTTGTTCCTTCAGTAATGCAGAGCTCGATTCAAAGAGAAAGTGGAAATGTTAACAGTGCCACAGCATATGCATTACACTCACAGATGTTATAGTTCATGAAAGTCACTTTTTAGATCTTCGTGTTTTAAATTGATGGGAAGAGTTTTTCCTCATTCACATTAAAGATGCTTACTACATAGATCTGACCTATTCCTTCCTATCCCTTCAAATTTTAAATTGAATCACAAGCTTTGATTCATAGGAGAAACACGCCAGCAAATGGAAAATTATTACCAAGCCATATAAGCTTATATTATCTACTAATAATTTCAAGACTATGTCAAGGTCATTTTACAGTTCTAGAACATAAACTGTCTGTAAGAATTTTAATTACATTTTGTAAGAGCCAGCAAAAGTATCTTCAAATACTCTTTATCTTTTTATATACCCCAAATTTTCTGACCTTAATAGCAGAAACACATTACTATATTTATTATTGGAATTCTGGGTTATCAGAATGACCAGTGACTCAGTTACTTTGATATTAGAAACAAAAAATGAAAATGATAATTTAAAAAACACTGGTTCTATGATACAGTAACAGCACGAAGAATACTGATGTCCAGTCTGCAGATAAATCAGATTGCTGAGGAGTTAACTCAAGTAAAATAACTAATATACTTATCATATGGATCCTAAGGCTATTCAATACAATAAAGCCATCTTCAGTTACTACATTAACTAAGGTTTTCAGGACTGAGCACAACCTTATACTTTTGCTAAATTTACAAAGAATTCTTGCCAATTAGCTATCATGTAAAACTGCTATGTAAGAGTACTATATATTGGTGTCTTTATCTCAGTAATGTGTATTTGTACAATGAGCTTAGGAACATTAACCACGTGAGGGTGACTAATTCAGAGATGAACAACAGAGCCCCTGTGTGTCCAGCACAGCTGGCACTGCCTCTATTATTTTAAAGAAACTCTGCAGACAATCAGTTTGAGAAGGGATCTGAGAAAATGGCCTGAGAAAAATGGGGCCTGTAGGGATGCTGGGGATGGACTCCTCATTAGGGACTGTAGTGATAGGACAAGGGGTAATGGGTTAAAACTTAAACAGGGGAAGTTTAGATTGGATATAAGGAGGAAATTCTTTCCTGTTAGGCTGGTGAGGCACTGGAATAGGTTGCCCACAGGGAGGTTGTGAATGCTCCATCCCTGGCAGTGTTCAAGGCCAGGTTGGACGAGGCCTTGGATGATATGGTTTAGAGCGAGGTGTCCCTGCCCATGGCAGGGGGATTGGAACTTGATGAACTTAGGTCCGTTCCAACCCTAACTATTCTATGATTCTATGATAAAATTCTTGTGGACAGGTACCATTTCCCTAAGATTAACACAAAAGTTACCATTTTCATACAGTAACTGAGGTGAAAAATACTGCTTAAGCAGAAAAAGTTCACCGCATGTTTTCTACAGCTGACCAGGTCTCAAGAAGTGCAGTGAGACAGACATATGAATGAAAGGAAACAAAAAGACGAAGAATACGTAGCAACAGGACAATCACAATTTTCCAGAAATGGGTGAATGTCCCTGAGAAAGGTCAAGTGGGACAGTCACATCCTTGATTCTCTGCAGATTGCGAAAAGGTGGTAGGGTAGCTAGTGCACATGCCCTGATCAGGATCTCCTTCCAGAACAAGCACGTCCCTGGTAAAAGGAGGAACATGTTCATAGAGTTCTGAGTAGTCAGAATAATAGAAATGGCTACATCATCTTTTCATTTCTAAGATGACAAATTTGGGGATGGTGCTTTTGATTCTTGAATTTACCTCTGAGCTTCTCTGTGGCCTTGATGAGTAACAGATTGCAATTGCTGAAAAGATTAAAATCAAAGTAGTAGTCACACTGCAAATATCTGAACAATCTCACATGGGCTGAGTATGAAAATGAAGTTTGATGTAAGGATGGCACACAGATGAGTGTTCACCTCGCCTTTCCTAAGCAAGACACCCACCCACTTCCACCTACGAGGAGGCAAAGTGGATTTCAGTGTTCGGGTGTCCTGCTGGATTTTCATTATTTCCATTATGTCCTTGTGACACATAACTTTTTTTTCCTGATTCATAGATTATCTTTTGTCTGTTGATCAACTACAATATTGTACATCTCTACTCCAAATGGAAATATTTTACTTGACATTTGCAGCATATCTTACTGGTTTGCTTTCTGCAAACCCCTATGGGTTACGTGTAACTCCGTTTGCTCAGCACAGCTCTTTCAGAATGCAGTATTCAAGCCCTAGGAGTTTTTTTTTAATTAGGACTGTGACCGTGTTCTTTAGTCACTAGTCTGTTCTATCTTCACTGTTATTGTAGAAGCCGGAATTAATCTGTGCAGAGGAACATGGATCTGAGGGAATAACAAACAAACAAGACTGTAGTAGCTCTAAGGCTACCTTAATGGACACGCACACTTACTGTAACCCAAAAGATTTGCAATCATAAAAACCATTTCTATGATACTGCACAGTATCAATGAAACTTCTGTCCAAAGAATTATTCAGAGCATTTAAGCAAAAAGTCTAATTTTCTGTATGGAGGAAAGGTAGGATTTTAACTTTAGGTATCTAGCATAGTTCCTTGTACCAGACTGAGTCTATTACACTAGCTTGTAAAACAGAACTAATTGCACACAATCTTGAAGAAGACTGCATGAATGATCATGAAATCTCACCTGTATTTTGTGCAGGTAGAGTTTTGATGTGAAGGATCTGATGGATTAAGTGTGATCCTTGGCGAGACCTGAGCTGATAGCAAAAATCCCGAAGCTAGGATAAGGATTGCTACAGCAGTACCTAAAAATACAGATAAAGAACAATGTGATACTTTTCTTCAGAGCACACAAAATAATTCTCTGTTGAACTGAACTATGCTTGGGAAAGCAAGGCACTCCATTACCATGCATACAGCATTCACTAAGGAGTTATGACGAGAACCTAAGAAAAATACCCTTTGCTACATCCACATTTTGAATTGGGTTACATGTTAAAGTAAAGTGCATCCAGTTTAATATCCAGATATTAAATCAATACACTGGGACTTTTTTTCTTTAAATGTGGAACTGAAGACTGCACAGATGAAGGGATTTATTCTTTTTGATGCTGAAAATAATCCTGCAAAGGTAAAATTTATGGTGTCTTTGAAATCACCACACCTCTCCCCCTTCCCACACCCAGACTTGCAGTCTTTCCTATAAAATAGAAAATAGCATCAGCCTTTTCAGTGACTCTGCTTGCCTTTGTGAAAAGAGAGAAATTTCATTTTTCATTAAAATACCACCAAAATGCCCAACGGCAATTTCTGATCTTGTTTCAAAGAACTCACCAAACATCTGCTAGGAAAAAGCCCCCTTCCACGTATTGGCTCTTGTCCCCCCCAACAAATTCCTTGTGCACAAACTGGGCAAAATGACGGGAGGAAAGACGGCAAAAAAGGTTCATACTTTGCGCAGTAGGCCATCACTAGAACAGCTCATGGTTTTCCTACCTTAGTTGTCACACTGCATTACTTTAATGAAAATGTATATACTTCACTAATGCAACTATCTCAAACTAACTTATAAAACCTTTACAGTTTTCCACTTGATGAGGCATTGAGTGCTGTATCATACAAAATACCCTGTATACCTGTTTGTATACTATTTATGTGGCATGTCACATGTAACATGTATAGACTGATCTAAAATACAGAAATAGTAATAACATAATTTGTGAGTTAGTTACCAATACTCTAATTAACATTACCCTTACCATACAAAACCCAATGCACAAAGCACTGAAGCACATCCCAGGCAGCACACATTTAGAAGTGTGCATGATTTAGCTAAATGACTGACGGCAAATTAAGGATACTGCATTTGGTGGGTGAAGGGCAGAGGGGATGTTTTGATTGACAGTTTCAGGGGTGGGTTAGATGCTGTTTTTAATGAGAAAAGCGAGAGTTTTCTAGGTGGCAAACCCACCAAGTACATGAAAAACTTTTTCTGAGACATAAATAATAACTTAAGTACCAAGAACTTTGTAATAAAATTATTCATGAATGTGTCTGTGCAGCAGTCATGGCTAACAGGCATACATACGAACTACAGGTAACTGGACCACACATTTGCCTCAACCGAGGCCACTGAAACTTTAAACTCAATCACAAACTATATGTGGAAATGCACCTACAGACCATAAAATGGGATTTCAGCTTATTCTAGACTTGGCTTTGTACTGCTATGGCTAGTAGGTACAGTAATAATAATCCCAGTTTTCTGGGCAGGTTGGATATTGCACTAGATTTACTGTACTTTCAAAATGCCATAAACCAGACAGCAAATATCCTTAGAAAGGGCCTATAATCATATTTATATTCATTCTATATATGCTTTGTCTGTCTTTCAAGTTAACCAAATACATTAACACTTCCAGCACCTCTGCAAATGTCTAACTTCTTTGGAAAAAACCAGCATATTTAACCTTGGCAAATGAAGTTTATTATAACTTTTCATTCTGTGGCAAGTTTGTCTATGAATGCTCCATCCCTGGCAGTGTTCAAGGCTAGGCTGGACGAGGCCTTGGGTAATATGGTTTAGAGCAAGGTGTCCCTGCCCATGGCAGGGGGGTTGGAACTTGATGATCTTAAGGTCCTTTCCAACCCTAACTATTCTATGATTCTATGACAAACAAAACCATGCAATTACAGAACATCATTAGCTGAGATGAAAAAACAAACAAACAAGAAATATGGAAATATCCTGAAGATATTTTAGATCCTCTCTGTTACAAAAAGAAGAGATACATTTTGTTTAAGTACCATCATGCTTTCAAATTGACAATTTCTGAAGTGGAAAAAGGAAAACACAAATAAAATGGATACTGCACTTGTCAAAATCCCTGCATGTTTCCCAATTAACAGCTTAGAAGAAAGAAATTAACTGAAGAGCAGAAGAAAGATAATGAAACACTGCCAAGACATAAAATGGATGGCAAACTAAGAAGAAAGAGTAACTGTAGTAAAGAGAACTAAAATGATGTAGGGCTTTTTTGGTTTGTGTTTGTTGGGGGTTTTGTGCTTCTGCACTGACCTGAAAGGCTCACTTTTTCAAAAGCTGCTAATAATAAGGTACATTAAATTCAATTTAAAATAGCTCTTCCCAAATGTTATCAGAAAGCAGGAGAAGCTGCAGGAGTTCACAAATTAAATCACAGTATGTTGGCTTTTAATAAAAATCTTAATGTTACTATCTCTCTACTGATTATTCTTGTAGGTTATCATCTAATAAACATCACATCTATTGATGTTTACAAAAAAAACCAACCCAAATTGTTGCAGCAGCAGGCAAAGTTAGTAATTTTGACTTATTTTTATGTAAGAGGAGACTGGGGCATACATGGCTTCTCCAAAGAGCAAAGAAGCAGCCAGTAATAACTCTGCATGGAAGTCAATGTCCTTAGAAAAAAAACAAAGTAGAACAGTCAAATAGAAGCTTACCCCATGAGAAAACTCATCATGCAAAACAAATCCATCATCAGTTTTAGTAATCATTTTATTAAACAGCCCTCTTGCTAAGGAAAACACATCATATCCACTACAACGTAGATCAAAGTTTCAAACACTGCATTAGAAACTTCTAAATAGTACAGACAGATGAAGCGTGATTTCATTACTGTTATTGTATATTCCTTCAGGAGGGACCTGTGATAAAGACCACAGCAAGCAATGCAGCATGGCTCAAGCGATGCTGCTGACAGCCAGAGACTGACCACAGAAGACAGATGATTTTTACCAATCACTTTGTGTCCAAACATCACAAACAAATAACCCTTAATTCTATTATATCCCTTTGTTAATTCTGTGCCCTATTTCTATATTCTCTTTTATTCTATGACTAAAATGCTTTGTAAGAGACATACCTACTTTTTAAATGTATGGCATCTGAGTATGTTAACTAGAGCCAAAAAGCTAACAGTTCTGTCATTGTGTAAGTCCACATAGGAATCACACCTATACAGCTGGGTCCAGAAGAGCAATAAACTCCTGAGGGGCTGGCCAAAGTTCTGAAGTTATTTGGGCCATATATACACACACATATACATATATATACATACATGCATACATACATATATATACATATATATATAAATACTCCATCCCAATAGATTATAAAGGAGAGGTAGTACCAGAAGTACCAGTGCACTGTCAGGAGAGATCCATTTTGCAGGAAGACAAGAAAGCAGATGAGTACTACATAATAAGTCACTGAGCATAAGGAATGGTACAGAACTGGGTCCTTCCTCTCTGAAAAACTTGGCAGTGCCTGGGGGCACAGAAGAACTTACAGGAGAGATGATGTATTTTAACTGATCTGGAGGTAGACTGTGATAAAAGTAGCGATTTGAGATTTTGTCTCTATTTTTCAAAACATGATAAATGTGCTTTTCCAATCTCCTCTGTCATGGAGACATTTCTGAACTTGGATCATGAAAACCCCTTTATTTCTTGACTCCAAACCAAGATGGTAACAAACAAATACACATTTATTATAATTTGGACCACCAAACTCCATGTTTTGATTTACAGATTTGGGTAACTGTGTATCAAACCAGACACTGCACTGTGCTGTCTCTGTTCTGCCTATATAAATGCATTCAAATACCATGAGTGTTGATTAACTCTCATCCCTTGGGAACTGCAGATGGCCAGCAACTTGGCAGGTGGTCCTCTACTCTGCTGTGTTGCATTAACTGGAAGTTTGGATACCTGACAGCAACAACAGAACAAAATATGGAGACATTAAACCTTTTCAGCTAAACACTTGTGAACACTATTTCAAGAGGAGCAGGAACTGTTCTTGGAAACGTCTGAACCTTTCAGTCAGAGGCAGGTATCAGTCACAGATCACTTCTGGCAGACTAAGAATGTAATGCAGTAGCAAACAAGGACTTACTGGTAAATGGCAGAATGCAGCTGAGCGTGGGCAAGGCTGCTTGCTCTGCCTTTTCCTGCTTCCAAGAGATTGCTGCCTGATGAGTTTTCAGTGTTTGAATATTTGGACAAAATCTACAATTCTAGAATTCTCTCTTTTAGTATGAGATGAGTTAAAACCACATTAGTGTAAGTACAGAATTTACTGTATTGTATTTGAGACAGCTCTTCAAATAACTGCATAATTTTTTTAAAAGGGCCCCACTGGCTATGTGCAACATGCTTTCTCCAGTAATGCTTGATAAGATGTTCTGAATTCCAATTAATGAGCCAGAAACTACGTATCACATATAGGCACATGAGATTTAAAAACTAACCACCTGTGAGGTTACAAGTATTTGAGTCCTTATACTATAACAAAAAAGCATTAACAAGCTAAAGAAAAACTTTGTCACCCACGGCTTGAAGGAGAAAACTGCACCTGAAAAAATGACATGCTAATCCTCTTTTTCAAGCTAGCCTTTAGCTGTGGCACTATACTGGAGGTCTTGAAAAAGCCATATGATTTCAGGGAGAGGATGGGATGAACATCGTTCGTTTAAAGAGGACTACTTTGAAAAAAATCTCTTAAATTTATTAGCATTTATTTGGCATTACTTTATTTTAATTTTATTGATGATAAAATACTGTACACTAATTAAGCACTCACCTGCTAAACTACCAAGTGTAAGTTTCCGGCGACCCATTCTTTCAACGAGCCAGACTCCCACTAGAGTAAAAATGAAGTTTATAAACGCTGTCAGTGCAGCCAGCCAGATTGCAAGCCTATCGTCTTCAACTCCTGACATCTGCAAAATGGTAGCACTGTAGTACCTGCAATCAGAGGGAGAGACAAATACCGACACCGTTAATTTCAATTTGGCTCATGTTATAGTTCCTGATTTTAAATCAAAAAAGATTATAACAAATATGAAGTGTGACTTCCTGAATAACGCAGCCACAGGCTGACACCCAATTACCCTGGAAATCAGTCATAACCTAGGCATAACTTGTGCTTGAATAAAGTTTTGACTGGAGGACAACAGGAGACGAATTGCCATTCTTTTGGCTGGTTAGAATTTCAGTGTTCAATAATATCCTGCTAGAAATCGGGTTTGTGTTTTTATCTTACATTAATCCAGCTTTCAAATCCAGCTGTTGCTTCGTGCTCTTTCTTCTGCCAAAATGTGGGATTTTAGCACTCTTGTGCACTGTCTAGGGAAAGACAGCTTGAAAATCAAATGTTTTTGCTTCTGTTAAAGGTCAGGCAGAGTTAATCTATGGCATCCAACATACTGCAAGTGACACAACCTCCTGGTTTTAGGTTTTGCAAGTTTACTTCACTGCCACTGATGCACCTGAAACCCTCTTTCTTGTGCTACTTTTGTCTTAACCAGAACACGATTGCTTTGAAATGCCTTAGCATCATGCTGCAGGGATATGAATATGCTCCCAACAGAAGCATGTCAGAATTTTCTACCTCTCTGAAAGGAATCAATCATTTCACGCAAACAGTAACTCATAAATAAATCAACTGAGCAAAACAAAAAGGGAAGAAAAAGGAAGCCACCTGCCATTTTTCAGAGAGCTCAAATGAACACAGACATCATGCCTGTGTTCTCAGGGAGAGCTAAATAAACCTCCAAGAAAACACTTGAGTAGTTTTGTTCCTCCTGTAGAAGCCCTTTTCATCTTGTTCTATTAATTTGTGCTGATTGAAATACTGATATTCAAGTCCTCAAATACCCAGCAGCCTACAGGCTATCACATTAAAAATGTCAAAGCTCACTTTTTCCCTTCTTTTTTTTTCCTGTTCAAAAGGCAGCTTGCTTTAAATGTCCCCTTGTTGTCTTAATGCCCAGATGTGTTACCCTCAGAAATCTTAGTAGTCCACGTTTTTCTGTTCTAAGTATAAACCACTTTTTATTTCAAATCAATAATCCATGATGGACAACATGCTCAAGTGACTACTTGCAAAAGTGCTTGAGTCATTTTAGATGATGCCAGATGGAAATGATTGTACCTATGGCTGGATATTACCACCTTGCCCACTGGCTAAGACAAGGTATTTGGATCTTCCCAGCTCCCTTCCTCTGCTCCTCTTCCCCATTAGTATAGCCATTTGAGGCCACGCCTACACAACTTGTGGTATGGTAGGAGAGGACTTCCAGAGGGAAACTGTTGGTACTGAGAACTGAGTATCTACATACACACGGGTTTTGAGCCTGGCTCTATGGTCTGCCTGCCCAATAGTAACTGCAGTGCCCAGTCCAGGCTCAGTCCATCTGAAAGAGCTGCATGCTGAGATCCAGCAAGGGTGCAAATCTTGGAGAGAAAAGATTCATAAAGGATAGACATCATCTGAATTAAATCTGAGTTAATGCATCCCCAGTTCTTAAGGCTCTCTAAATTAAATTGCTAACTGCTTGTCAAGATTGTATCACATTGTTCTAGTCATCAGAATCATCCAGTCCCCAATCTCTCAATACCCCTTTCTTTTTCTCCTTAAGAGTAGGAAAATAAAAACCAATTTCAAGTCTCGGCCTACTGAAACCCACTATGAAACTCCTATGTACTTCCACAAGGCAAGGTGGCCTTTCAGGAGGCCACGTTTAACTGCACACTTCTAAAACTTTCCAAAATCCCATTCTACTGTGAAGCCAAGCAATCGTTAGTTGTCAGCAGCAATGTGTAATGTATGGATTCTATATGGTTAAAACCCAGGAAAGAATAAAGAATAAAAGCACATAGATGCTTACAGCCTCGTATATATGAACAGGCACCTTCTGCACCCAACATTCCTTACGGTTGCTTACTGCACTCACTAGTTACATATTCTCAACTAGCTTACTGCTTATCCATAAATAAACAACATATTTCGTTTCTATGGAAAACAAACCAGGGAAATCTAGATTCTGCAAATTCAAATGCCAAGCTACCAAAGCCTGGGTGCTGGGCAATGATGCTGGTGTTTATTATGGCACAGCAATCCAATGTCAAAAAATTAAAAGAACACTTGCATAGATTATAACTACTAAATGTATTTGCTTATGTTTACTTATTTTACTGTGCCCATTTTTTATGCCAACCTGTGTAGCCCTAACTGCCTAGCAATGTAAGAAGATGACAGGTCTTTTTAGTTTCTGCCTGGCAAGGAAAAAACTGTGTGGCAGGAAAAGGTCAGGTTGTGATATTATACAACCACAGTGAATACTGCAGCTCCTGAAGGGAATGCAATTCCAGTGACAAAGTTGTGCAGTCCTGGCTTATTTTCTAAAATGTAAGGAAAATGACAACAGCACGTGTGTGATCTCGAAATTTTTAAGCAAGTCCAATAACTTAGAAAGCAAATAAATACAGACAATTACAAAGCCACACAAAGGAAATGAGTTGGAAACATACAAAAAGATCTTAATATTGCTCATTTTCTAAGGACTTACAAAGTTGTTCTGTTGAGATGTACATTAAAACATAAAAAAGAAAAGAAAACCTGAAACATTTCCACATTCAAGAATCCTCAGACTAACCCTTTGACCATATAACTGAAAATGCACAGTATTGGAGGAAATGAAGCAACCCCAAAGACTTTTCTCCCTCTTCTCCTTTAAAAAGTCAGGTTTCTGAAAGCAACAACATCCAATGTTTAAAGAAAAGGGTAATTTCCCCCGCCAAGCAGATCTTAAAGACAGTTCCAGATGCATCAGGGCTCCCAGGCTGGCTCACTCAGCAGAGGGAAGCAGCCCACCACGCCAGGCTTCGCAGCAATCAATCCCAAAAAAATGCTTGTCTGTCACAGCTTTGAGTGCCCCCATCCTTCATAAGGGATGGCTCCAGCCCATCTGTTACACCAGGTCTACTCCAACAAAATTTCTGTCCATCTCAGCACTTTCAGACATAACATGTAATTCTCATAAACTTAGTGGATAAATCTCAGTAACTCAGAAGTACCTTTCAACATCTTGAAAACATTTACCTTTTTGCTTTTAAGAAAACAAAAATAGAGCACTCTGGCACTGTTTTGCCAGGGCTTAACATTTTCTAGCACAATGCTTTGGAAATCACTGTCCAACTACTGAAACTACACGGTTCAAGAAAATTACTGCCTAGAGATAACAAAACCCTCTTTTTTTCTCAACTCAACTGAAATAACACAAAATGAAACGGCAAGTAATGCAATAGCCAATAAGAAAATCATTAAAACCTGAAAAAATCCAAACTGGCAGCAATTTTAACAGGTTTACATGCTCATTTTCTGATACTGTGCATGAACAAAGATCCTCACCCTCTCCTCTACCACTTTATTATATGTTACAATAATTGGATTAAGATGGACAAAAGTACCCATAATAAAACATGCTCCATAGTCACAAAATTGTATTTCATTTACTCCTTCAACCTGTTTCTCTGCTCTGTTAGAAATTACTAAAGCTTATTCCCATCAAGTTTGATGATTTCCAGCATGGGAATTGAACCAGATGTGTCCAGGCTGGGCCAGGCATGCAGTGTTACCAGCCAATGTGCAAAGCGTGCTGCAGCCCCCATGCCCTGAGCAGCAGAGCTGTTGGACCAAGGGAAGCCCAGTCACAGCCTCCTGCTCACAGCCCCGACTCACCTCACTCCTGCTGCAGAGCAGCAGACAAAATGCAGTTATTTTAAGAAGAGAAATACATTACAGCTCATATACACATGGAATATAGAGTCCTAGTGACACCTATAAGCCAGGGAGCTGCATTAGGAGGAGACTATGCCAATGCCAACAGGGATGCTGGACAGACACCATCTTGTAAAAAACCCAAAAATATCTGAGGGACTAATACATAATAATTCAAATTTCACACTAACAGAAGTATCCCACTGAACTTACAAGTCTTCTAATTTGGTTCATGTTTCCCTCCCTTTGCAAACCATCCCACATCCCTGTAAACACAGCTGTAACATTCTCCAAGATAGCTTGTTGTTCTGACGTATGATTTGAATATATATACCTCCAAATGACAACAAGGAAAAAGGGTTAAACCATCCTTCACATTTCACCTTTGGGTGATAAAAGATCATAGTGGTTTTATATTCTGCTAATCTGAACAACAACAGCCCAACAAGCAGCATTGCCATGGTAGGGAATACAGAAGCCCTGCAGCAGCTCAGCCTTAGCAGGCTTAGCTTGCTGCTAAAGGGCTGGGGAAAGGTCCCATGCTCCTACATACTCCACTTACTTAAAGGCCTGATGTAAATTTGTACATAATAAACTTTTCCTGAAGAACTGAAAATTAGTTTGTGTAATAGTAATGTTGTTACTAACTGGTTTAAATCCTGCGCATGTACGCTCCTTCCTCTTTAGCTTTTCGTTTGCAGCTTGAACACAATAATCTTATCATGCCTGGCACTTCTGAAGATTCAGAGGTGCTGAAGAAACAAGAACTGTGCACAAGCCAGGAAACTCCCACTGGTATTAACACTGCTGGAAAGAGGCCAGGCACATCATGTAATTGCAATTTACTGAAAGATGGACTCTACAAGCTTGAGAACACCTACAGCAAAGCAGGCTTGTAGACAGAGCACGCTTGCATCTGCCTGTCCCACCCATTTATACCTACCTTATGAAAGGATTTAATCAAGACAGCTTAAGTTGACAGGGACTGCCTGCAGAATTACCATGGCTTCACCAACATGTTAAACTGTGGCAACTCGTCTGTGCAGACATACTCACAGAAACAGAATGAGAGAGAGCAAGAGCAGCACATAGGAAATTAGAAGCCAAAGTACTGTAAATGAAAACAAGATAGGAAGAAGTTGATATATCTGGAAGGAGCCAAAGGCAGCAGATGCTCCAGGTA